CATAAAGCCATGGTCTCAACCTACCTCCTCAGCTACATCTCCAATCACTCACTCCCTTCTCTCCTTTACATCCCCAACCCACGCGCGTGTGCGAGTACACACACACACACACACACACACACACACGTACTCACATATGAGCTCTCTAACCCAACATGCTTGAATTTTTATCTCATGCCAAGACTAAGACATATAACTGGGAAAATGAAAAGCTAGTTTGTATCCAGAACCCAATGCTGCTTGGGTTGTCACTAATAATTTTTTTAATGAAATCATATTTATAACTCTTTTGTCTCTGCAACAGTGGTTTTTACATAAGAAATAAAACACGTTTTCAAACTATTAATAATTGGTGCATGATGTCTAATTCAGTTATACTTACAATACATGAGGCTAAGAAAAAAATTTCTGCTTTAAACTATTTTCATCCTCACACTTCCATATTTCTCATATGCTCCTTTTCCTTATATGAGTTGTAAATTCCTGAAAGTAGATGCTTATTTTAGAAATATTAAAGCAGCCTCAACTACAGCAATATGAACTGAATAACACCAGTTAGAACAATGGTAAGCAAAACAACAAATCAAGTTTGACTTTCAGCATTATCTACCAGTATGTCTAGGTTTTACATATTTAAAGAAAAAAAATGTTTCTCCAAATCACCAAAGTCCCGTTTATTTCATGCAATGACTGCTATAAATACAAGCGATTAACACATAACCACAACTTCTCAAATTAATGCATCTTGAAGTATGTTTTAATAGAAATAAATTAACCTACTATGTGAGTACTCATCACCAAAATGTTAACTTTAAAAATCACAATACATCTCTTTATGTTGGGTAATATTCTCAAGGACTGTAGCTTACCACAAATAATAGAGAATATAACTTAATCACAAACCCAGAAATAACAGAAGAATCTCTGTAGCAATGAAGTTACCTGAACTCTGCAAATATTTTAGAAAAAGAAAAATAATTGTCTATGAAACACAAAAGAATCTAGATACATAGTTCTAAGAGGGTAAATGTTTCTCAGAAGTAAACATCACAATAATTTCTGTTCATGTACTTCCACTAGCATCTTGAAAACATTACAAAAGATAGAAAATGTGGATCATCTGCCATTTTCTCTCAATATGGCAGCTTGAACTATAAATTTTACCTTAACTGCATAAATACCCCTTTTAGCATGAAAATAATAGTAATAACATTTATTGAATGCTTACTCCACAACGGACAACATGATAAAAATGGTTTTCTAGCCATTATCTCATTTAATCCTCATAACACTATGAAACAAAAATGGTTACACATCCTCCCTCCCCATTTAATATAGGAGGCACCTGAGGCTTTAAAGAATTTGAACAACTTGCCGACAGAGCCTGGATTTGAACCCAGATGTTTCTGATGTTCCTAACTCAGAGCCCACCCTCCTAGCTCATTATCTTCCACTGCCTCAAATCCCTTCAAAATATATCAATTCCTTTAAAGTTATGCAGCTAATCCAAAAATAAAAATAAAAAGCTCATTAGTAGAAATAATGTATTTTCTAATTCATTTGTTCCTTAATTTCATAGTGCTTTGAATGACATAACATAAAACCTTTCAATACCATCTGCTTCATATTACTTTATCAAGAAGTCTTTAAACAAGTAATTTTATCATATTTATCCACTCGTTCATCATCCAATCTACACTATTTAGTAAGCACCTACCCCACTAAACAATTATCTGTGTATATGTGTAAGAAACTATGTAAGGCCACATGGAATTTACCAACGTAATTCTTGACTTCAAATAGTATCTAATATTAGATATTAGATAACAGAAAATAAGAGGATAAAATACCTACATTCATACCAGAAAGTATGTGTTAAATACCTCTTTCATCCATATTCTTCCACAACGAAGAAAAATAAAACAAAACCTACTGATTTTCTCTCTTTTGTTCGTTTCCTCTTCTTACCTCCTAATACCAAGAAAAATGGAATGAAGGGGAAAACACAAAGAAAAGAATATTGACCTCACGCCTGTAATCCTAGCACTCTGGGAGGCCGAGGCGGGTGGATCGTTTGAGCTCAGGAGTTCGAGACTAGCCTGAGCAACAGCGAGACCCTGTCTCTACTAAAAATAGAAAGAAATTAATCGGACAACTAAAAATATATAGAAAAAATTAGCCGGGCATGGTGGCGCATGCCTGTAGTCCCAGCTACTCGGGAGGCTGAGGCAGAAGGATCGCTTGAGCCCAGGAGTGTGAGGTTGCTGTGAGCTAGGCTGATGCCACGGCACTCACTCTAGCCCGGACAAAAGAGTGAGACTCTGTCTCAAAAAATAAAAAAGAATACTGACATACAGACATTCATAGGGATAGAGAAATAACACTGGACTTTTGTTTTTTCTACATCTGATTTCCATACCTTATCACCACTCTAATCTTTCCTCTCCTAGGTCCACTCTCCACACGGGAGCTGGAGTTATCTTTCTAAAACACAAACCTGATGATACCACTACTCTATTTGAAATTTTTCAATGGTTACCCCATGTTAAGAAAAATTCTAAACTCTGATCATGGTACCGAGTACTTGAAGATCTGGCCTCTCTCACTACTTACAAATATTCTGGGATCCAGTCATTCAGAACTACCTAGGGTTCCCCAAATAAAAAACACTCATTCTTAAATCTATCCCTTGCTCATGCTGTGCCATTTACCTAGAATAACTTTCCTCATCCTCTCCCCAATGAAAGCTTATTTAATTGTCTTAACACAAGTCAAAAGTCACATCACACTGAAGACCTCCCCTGAATCATTAGACAGTCAGGATCTCTCTACTAATTGACAGGGAGAATGGCATCAGTGCTTGAGATCATGACTTATATCACGATTCATCAGTCACATGAGTTGAAATCCCAGGTTCATACTTTACAAACTATGATTTTGGGCAAGGTGTCTAAACCTGTTTCCTCATCTCTAAATAACAGTAACTAATTCACACAGTTGTTGTAAGGATTAAGTAAGAAGCTACATGCAAAATACTCTGCACAATGCCTTGTGTACGATAAGTATTTAATAAATGTTATTGTTATATGATTATTTATTTCCACTCTGGGTCCCTACAATTTACACGTATCTTAATCACATTATTGTGATGACACGACTGTTTGCCCATCAGGACACAGACTATCTTCATTCATCCCTTTATTCCAGCCACCTGGCATAATGCCTCACACACAGTAAATTCTTCACAAATCGTGAATGAATATATAAAGTACTTCGAATCCCTACGCTGTGTAACTTAAGGCCTCAGTTTTTTCTATTGGTCTTACTAAACCTACTTTCCATCTCTTTCTTGTACAAAATTGCTACTTTTAAGTAAAATTTACAGCTTCATTTTAATTGAGAGAAAACGAATTTTATAAGATTTCTGGTCTTGTTTTTAAAAACATACACACAATAAGCCCACGATCAACGAATTACTGTATAAAATAGCAAACATCTAGAATGGTTATCTACCTATTGAAAAATTTTAAAGGGTAATCAAGGAAGGTTTTCTAAATCTGTATCAGCTTCCTTACTGCCAGGCCCTGGGTTGACTCTAAGGACTAAGGTGCATTCGAGAACATAAAAAAAACACAAATCAGAATATACCATTTTTCATTCTGTAAACTTGCTCCTGAGAAATTCTGAAAAAACACTGGAATAATCAAAGAAAATAATTACTACTACCTGCTGCTAAAAAAAAAAAAAAAAAGTCTGTGCTTTAAAAGTTACCAGTAATTTAAAGCTGAACTAATCTTCAAAGTAGAATCAAAATCTGTGTAGGCAGTGTTCAGGTTGGTGGGGGGGACTCATTTCACAATCTTGAACCTCAATAAATGCAAAAATGCAAAACGGTAAAAAATACCAGATACCAGCATATACTAGCAATGATATCTTTTCTCTACTTCCACACTTAACCTTTTAAACACTACTGCCCTTTGAGTAATTACAAATTGATGGGTTTAATATGCAAACACCTCTGAGCTACTTTAACTATAACTTAAATACCTAGAAATAAACGAATCCGGGAAGGGAAAAAAGCCTGTTAAAATACGGTTTCTCGGGTCTCACATCAAATGTGTGACATACATACGGTTCTGCACCGAGAGGCAGCAACCTGGGAGGGTCAGAGACGCCGAAGGCCCGAGGCCCTGCAGCTGGGGCGGCTGCTCATCCCTGAGACTACGTTGGGCGGTGGCCCAGCCTGGGTGGGGCTGAGCGCTGCCGCCGGGGCGGGCCAGACCACAGGGCGGGAAGCACGAGTCTCACCTCCACTTCCCTTTTCCTGCGCACAGAGCCCAGTTCGGCGACCACCCCACAGCCCCCTCAAGACAAAGAGAAAAATTTTCTCCCTCTCGCTCCGCTCAAAGTTTATCGGTCTTTGCCAGCGGCTGGGGCCGCCGGGCTTTGTAGTTCCCCAGGCCGAGCCGCCCCGCCGCGGCCACAAGCCCGCGGAGCTGCAGAACTACAATCCCCATGATGCCCCGCGAGTCCCCCGCGCCCGCTCCTCTTCCCCTCCCCGCACGACGGACCGGGCCCGAGGAACCCCGCCGCGCACGGCCCGGGCGCCTGCTGCGGCGGGAGACGGGGCGGAGCTGCCAGCCGAGCACACCGCCACCTGCTGTCCCGTTCACGCCCCTCTCCTTCGGATTCATTACCCAGGTGTCGCAGGTCGGCGCACGGTTGGCAGTGCGGTCCAGGTGGGGTGGGGGTGGGGCGCCGGCAGCCGCCGCGGAGTCCGTTAGTTCGCGACGTGCGTGAAGAGGCGGTGGCGGCGTAGAGTTACCATGGCAGCCGCGGGCCGTGCGGCGGGGGCCTAGCGGAGAGGGAGCGCTGGGGCTCCGAGTCAGTTCCGGGAGGAGCTTGTGGAGCCGGCCCGGGTGCGGGGGGAAGGGAGGCGCGAGGGCGCGTGGTGGGAGAGGAGGGAGATCGTGACATTGAAGAGGACGGGCGCTGACTGGGCTTTGGTCGTTCCTGGTGAGCCCTGCCTCGGCTGCGGCCAGCCTCCGCGACACGGCGCGTTCGTGCCTGCGGTATTCGGAGGGGACGCCTGTGGTGTCAGAGGAAGGAGCCCCGGAGTCTGGTCCAGCCGCCTTCCCCGCCGCCTGTCCCAGCATCCCCCCCTGGGATGTGGGGAACCTACGCTGAGTCTGTGGTTTTTGCCACTCAAATCGAATTTGCAGTCTCTCACACCTCTTTTTCTGCCATTCTCTGGGGAGTGGGATAGAAAGCAATTATTCAGTAAGGTGGAATGCGTACAGCCTCGATTGATTATTGATTGATTATTTAGGAGGTTTTAGAACTTGTAAAGTGGCACTGATTTCGATTGATTTTGGGCCTATCCTATTTCTTAGGCAATCGTTTGCTGACTCTCCAGGATGGTCTCAGAGAGGCAGTAGACTATAAAGAGGGTAAGAGCGTGAACTTCTAGAACCGAGCCTTGGCTCACGTCCTGCCGCTGTACTTGGTAGCACTTTACCTACGTGCTTTGATCCTCAGCGTTTAATCTGCAGAGTGGAGGTATCTGTCTCGCAGTTCTTGTGAGAAATAAGCGCACTAATACTGATGGAGCGCTATAAAACAAAGCCTGTCATTTAACCATAGCTATGAAATATTGTTTAATCTATCTTGATAAAAAAGTCAAGAATAGTGGTGGGAGAGAGGAGGGATTTTCTGTAGTGATTAAAAAGCTCTATATCTTGCTAAGGGTTTAGGTTACATAAATCCGTATGTCACCCATGTACCAACATTTAAGATTTGTACATTTCACTGCATGTAAATTTACCTCAAAAAGGAACATAAAAATATTAGTTATTATTAGAGCTGTAGGCGCTAATGAAATCACAGAGATTCTAGGCCCAATGTCCAGATTTTATAGATGATGAGGAAACTGAGGCCTAGAGATTTAATAGAAAAAAAAGGGGGGGGGAGTGAATTACTGACCCTGCCATTTTCAATTTGTCAATTTCTTGAGACATTGTGGTTGAAAATAGCAAGCTACTATGTGTGTAATCCAATTGGGTCACCCTGTCAGAGAGATTTTTGTCCTTTATCCACCTTTTATCATCCCTCAAGGCAAAAGTCCTCTCAGTGATTGCACAGTCCTGGGGGGTCTACAATCTCACCATCATTTCTGGCTCTGAGTTCTTGCTTTCTCTGAACACTTAGACTCCCTCACATCTCATCTCTTGCAACTCTTTTCTCTCCACTCCTACTGACACATAATGTGGAAATCAACCCCTTTTCTTTGGTTGTTTGTATAGCAGACTCTTCTGAAGGTTTGGAGCAACTGAGGAGTTTTAAATGAAGGATGCAAAAAACCTAAAATTAAAAATCCCTGCTCTTAAAATTCCTTCAGTTCCCCTCATAGCATTTTTATCCACTGACCCCCATCCCTTCAGCATAAGCTGCAACTTTCTACTATCCACCATCTCTCTGGTCCTGTATCTCCCCTCTTCTTTTCTCTCTTTATTCAGTATTTTTAGTTATCTCCATCTCATGTACCTTCATGGCTACCTACTATTCCTAAACTGTTTATCAAAATATTTTCCTACACAAAGTAACTTCCCCAAGAGGATCTCTGGTGCCAGCTATTAATATTGGATGTCCCAGTATATATCTTCACATTCTATTCAATTCAGTCCACAGTGTAGTTAATAAATATTAAGCAGCTTATGTACATGACCTATTACCTTCGTAATGGGTTCAATTATGAAAACCATTTTCTTACATCCATAATAATGGTTTACTCTATTAGTATAAATGAGGAAGCAAATGATAGTAGCTGGAATCTGCTAAAAGGAAGAAAAGCAAAGTCTACATAACCATAGTTTATGTTGTGCAGAAGAAATGATAGCATTTAAACCATGAAGTCCAGAACAAAATCTGAATATTAAGCCGCCTGACAGCCTTATAGAAGCAACACCTGTACCTATTACCTGTAGCAATTTGGTTACAACTCTGCATATGTAATGAGCATATAGATTCTCCTTTACTCCTGGAGGTGATGATACTGATCTGCTACCAGCTGAACACATGTTTTTGTAGTAAGGATGATAGGTTCACCTGATCCATCTATCCCTCATCTGGTTTCCCTTGTGACCAGTCGCTTGTCTGAGCAAGGCAGCTGGCCAGGGTTGTAGTGCAGACTGCAGCCATCAAGAAGTCTCCAAAGGCAAGGTCCCAATGCATAGTGCTCCTTGTTTTTTGAAGCCAGGATCCCAGAGAATCAGCTCAGCAGGACAAGCCACTGGAGAATGGATGACAGCAGCACAAAGAAACAGCTGCTTTGCAGGGAGCTGGGGGTGAGGAGTCACTCAAAGGAAGACCAGGAGCCACTGAAGCACAGCCTTAAAACGCCTCACGTGGCTATGGACAGCTGGGAAGGAATGGGGACTGAGGATAAACTGGAGTTTACTGTTTTCTCTGGTTACTTTAGCCCCATCCAAGTGATAAACACACTGTGCAAATCCAAAAGATGGAGCTGAAAGTAGTAACAGATTAATCCACACAGACAGGCAGTGGGGTCAAAAGCTGCCACTCTTGTCAAAAAGACTTAATGCATCTAGTTCAAAGTCAGAGGTCTTTCCTCAGTTCTCAGTCTTCTTGGCCTCTGTAGCATTTGGCTTTGCTGACCACCCTCCTTGGTGGCCTATGACTGGTTCTCTTCAGAGCTTTCCCAACCAGACTTCATTGTGTTATTCACCAGCTCTTCTACCTGCTCCTTAACTGTAGGGATAGTTCCCAAGGTTCAATCTCTACACCCCCTTCATCTCCAGGCTGCCACCTCTCAGCTCTGGTGATGCTCAGATTTCTCTTGCTAGTTCCAATCCCCAAGTTCCAGTACTGCACCCAGCAGGCCTTGTGCTTCCTCACCTTGTCTGTTTCTCTTGTCCTCTTCACCTGAGATGCAATGGAAGATTATATTCACCCCCTTTCCTCACCTAAATACCTCTGCTGCAAAAACTAATGTGAAACCTCTATGTGAAATGTTTCCAGATCATTCCTGCTCACAACTGTTATCACCCTGCTTTGTACTCAACATTTCCTGCCTAGATCACTCACTTGATAAGCAACCATACTGCCCAGTGGCAGCTCATCCATTGTTTACTCATTGGCTTTCACCCTCTCTCCTCACTGTATTTCAAGCTCCTCCAATGTGGAATTTCTGGGTATTCCCCAAAACAACTTCATAATACCTTATATATAATAAGGACACAATAAATCATTTTGATTGGTGGTTCCTTAACTTGTCTCCTTAGCAAAACCTCCTTTATCTGGTAGCTTTCCCCCTTCCAGTACCATACAGAACATTTGCATCCTCTTAATTTAAATACCCCTGAAGCCTGTGGCAGTGTGGGCCCCCATGTGTATTTAGTGGATGGAGTACATTGGGAGGAAATTCCTTTAAGTTACTGTTGCTATGGAAGGAGTTCAGGAGGTAAGTAGCACTGAATTCCAATGTTCAGTTCCCAGCTACTGGTAAAGATCTCTAGGGCAGAGTTTTCCTTGCTGTGGGTCACAGCCTATTAGTAGGTCATGATGTCAATGTGATGGGTCCCTTCTAGCTGTGTAATATTTCAAATGTGATAAGATAAGGTAGTGTAGGGTAAAGTACAATAGACTAGAATGCAATGGAAGATTAGATTCAGAGGGTATGCTCATAGTTATGGCAAAGAATTTTGTGGCAGTTTGAGCTGTTGTCTTTCAGCTTCAAACCTACCCTCTATCCTCTGTTTTGTGTTGGTGGAGCTGTAACTGTGCAAACCACATTTCTCCTTCGTCCTCTGGCTACTGGGGGTACTAGAGGAAGAGCACAAGTCTGGAGGAGAGGAAGGCAACTTGCTCCTTTCTATTGGCCGACTATGATTGACAGCATCCCCTCCACAATGGCCTTTTAGCCAGGTAGCAGTTTTACCTGTCCCCAGCTTCATGTGCTTCAGAACTGCCCTCATGACATTTCTTCTCCCTCTGCCCCAGAGTGTTCTCAGCATCGGACAGGCAGTGTCCCTCTTCCGGAGGGCCTCCCCTCCAAACCTGTGGGTTCTGATAACCCCAAAGGGCCTCTCCTTCAAACGTCTGGGTTCTGATAACTCCAACTTCCTCTTCTCTCTTTGATCTCCAGCTCTAGAGGCAGGAGCTGCTTCTTGCAGTTGTTACCTATGTGTCACTTGCGTTCCTTTTTTAATGTTTCAGTCCTCCAACATCTATCTAATCAATTCCCTGTGCTAAATTCTCTCTGTTGAAATACTTAATCTAGTTTCTGTTTTCCTGACTAATATGGATGGGGAAGTAAAATATATTTCCTGCTA